GTGAGATACAGGAACAAAACAGTGGTTTTCCGATTTCACCTGCCTTTTTTTTTAACGAATACACAAAAATAGAATTAACTTTTAGGTTAGTGTGCGATCTTTACCCAAAAGTGTTGTAAAATGTCTTGTTGGATGGATGCACGTCAAATTCAACCTAAGCTGCTGCACCACAACTTTTTTTTTTTTATTTCTTGAAGATTTACAGCTCTATTGTTGCATTTTAGAGGTGTCTGAAATTCTTGTCTTAATAGCGTTTTGGACAGGTTTCCTGCCCTGGTGCATACAAAGCAGTGCCAGCCCCACACCTGAGCATGTCAGATTACATCTCTGTGGAGCTGATCCCAGCAAATATATCCCAGATCTGCAGGACAAAACATTCACCAAACAATCAGTCACCAGAACAGTGAAGTTGTGGACTGAGGAGGCTTCTTCAGGATTGCAGGACCGTTTTGAGCACACTGACTGGGGGATGTTCGAAGAGGGTGCAGACCTTGATGCTTATACATCATCAGTACTGGACTATGTGGACTATGAGTGTAATGATCAGCAGGTCAGCCATGACCCCACTCTCCCAGATGCCTTAAACAGCTTCTTTGCATGCTTTGATACACCTGGCTGCAGAGAGACAATCCATTCCCCTCGGCTGGAGGAGCAACAGTCGCCTTTCACCCTGCAGCTGTGAGCTCCACCCTGAAAAAGATTAACGATAATCAGGACCAGACAAGGTGTCACGTTGAACTCTAAAGGTATGTGCTGACCAGCTGGCAGGAGTGTCCCTGGACATTTTCAACCTGTCCCTGCAGTTCACTTCAGTTCCTGTGTTCCTCAAGTCCTCCATCATTGCCAAAAAGTCAGCGGTCACCTACCTCAACGATCGTTGCCCTGTTGCTCTAGCTCCAATCATCATGAAGTGCTTTGAAAGTATCGTCCTAAAACACCTAAATGACGTCATTCCTGGTCTGAATATCCATCAGTCTGTCTACAGGGAGAACAAATCACTTGAGGCTGTAGTCTCAATTACACTTCATGCAGCACTGTCCCACCTGGAGCATCCTAACAGCTATGTCAGAATGTTATTTGTAGACTTAAGCTCAGCTTTTTCTGGAGAAGCTAGCACTGACTTGGGGCTGTCTGCATCACTGTGTCTGGATCAGGGACTTCCTCACCAACAGGCCTCAAGTGGTGAGAATTGGAGGCTGAATATCATCAACACAGGTGCACCCCAGGGCTGTGTGCTTAGCCCAGTTTTCTTTGTCTCCACACAACTGTACCGCCATCCACCCCACAAATACAGTTGTGAAGTTTGCAGATGACACCACTATAGTGGGTCTCATATTGAGCAACGATGAGACTCGCTACAGAGAGGAGATCCAGCACTTGACAAGAAAACAACATTGCCCTGAATACCAAAAAGACCAAGGATGTCATTGTGGACTACAAGAGGAGCAGGAAGTCTGAACATGCTCCTCTCCTCATACAAGGAGAGGCGGTGGAGTGCATGGATAACATCAGGTTCCTGGGCATCCACATCAGTTATGACCTGCCCTGGTCTCTGAACACCTCCCACCTGGTGAGGAAGGCTCAACAGAGGCTTTCCTTCCTGGACTCTCCTTTCAGCTGCTCGCAAAGCTTTACAGAGCCACAATAGAAAGCAGTGAAGCACCCTTTGTCTCAGTGGGACAGTGTGATATGGGAGCTGCACCGCACAGGACAAGAAGGACCTGGCACTGGTGGTGAAAATGACTTAGTGGATTGAAGTACACCCCTACCAGAGCCCCCCAAAACAATGAGAAGTGTTTTTAGACGTGTTGGAGACGCAAAAGACAACATTGACAACCTTTGAGCCAGCTGGTGGACTCCCAACAACAAAACTGAGAAGGGTTCGAGAGAAAATTTGTCACACATTTTTTGGGGCTTGTTCAAAGTTCAAGCAGTCGGGCATTGAATCTCCGACTCGTGAGGAAATTGAGAACCCACCGAATGCTCTAAAAACATTAGAGACGCCCTCCTGATGTTGTTTACCGACGGCCGCAGCCCGTTCTGTTGCGGTTTATGAAAGTAAACTGTTAATGATTGAAGACAAAAAAAGAGAATAAGGTGCAACCAAACAGAGACATAAGTAAGACATTGTAGATAGTAAGATTACTTTATTAATCTCTGGTGGAAATTTGGAAGATGTAGTCCAGTCAAAGCGGTTGGAAACATTTCAGGCCATTGGTTGGGATTTTGCAGACGCTTCCGTGGCTCTCTGTGCCCTCCATTTAAAGTCGTGTCTGGATGCTTGAGCTTGTTCAAACACATCTGTAACTACAGTCTGCCATCTGCAAGTTGAAATAATTTAACGGGTTTAGTTAATAATCTATGGGAACATTTTCTTCTCACACAGAATTGCCAAAGCAGAAGAAGCAAAGCAGCTGGTGTTCTCTAGCATCATGAAAAATAGATGTTTACTGTAGATAAGTAGCTTTACTGGGATTCCAAAAGTCTAATATTGTTTGTTTGTTGATGTTTCTCTTAGCATCCATAAAATCTGAGGGTAAGTCTATCAGTATGGCTCTGTTGATCTTCTGGGTCACTAACTCGTCTTGATCAGACCATTTCTTTGATAGTTTCTCCTGAAATGTATTGCTTCACAGATTAATATTGACTTTTGAGACTCTTTCTAGTTGGATTGAGGTCAGTCTGGTGCAAGGAATGAGTGATTTAATGTTTTTTTTTTTTTTTTTTCTTCTCAAAAATACACTTTATATCATGAGCCGCATTTAGTAATCAAGAAACTGAACACGAATAAAATGTTGTGTTTTTGTTTTTTTGCTGCTGTTGGTGAGAAATGTCTGCCTTTCCAACTTTTCATTCTGTCATTTTCTCAGTCTGATTATCTGTCTTCACTCTGAGTATCTTTCATTCACTTTGCAGACATAATGCATATGAATTACGTGACCTCAGCTCCATGCTTTGTCTGGAAATAATAGGAAATAATAATGAGTTGAGAAAAAAAGGAATTCTGTTCTCGGCGCTACATGCAGATTTGAGCTTTTCTTCCTTTGTCGTGTTTTTGAGGAAGAGCATATTGCTTTAGCAAGTTTGCAAAAATGAAAGATGTCAGTTGGGTAGCTCCTGAATCTGTTTCATTCTGATAACTCTGGCGTTTCCAAAGCTTGTTCCTCTCAGTTTCTTGTGCTGGAGTAAAATAAGACTGAATTGCATTGACGCAGAGGTCCGCAACCCCAATTCTGGGCTTTTAAATGACTGCCTGAGTGGATTCCTGCCAGATTGGCATCTCAGGGCGGATCTGATTGCAGTCAGATAGTTGGAGATCTCAAAAGTTCACTCATATTTTGCCGTCTTGCTCTGCCGTTCACACATGGACTGTCTATTTATCCACTTCTGCTACTCTGAAGACAGGGATAAGAATTGCAATCCAAATTACAACCTGACTTGTGATGTAAATTAAATTTTATTTAAGCTGCTCTAATGAATTATTTTATTTTATTTTTGGTTGTCGTGACTTTCTAGAAAATAGGATCAGTCAGATCCATTATGTCTAAACAGGGAGGAGATGTCGTAAAGGTCGTTGAGGGTTTGTTGCCCTTGTTTACTGAAACATTTAAGTTTTTTCAGAGAAATGCTTACAGTTCCACCTTTCCCACAACGTGGTAGCTTTATGCACGTCAGACACACCCGCCCTCTTTTAATGAGCTCACACACACACCCACTTACAAACAGAAACCTCTTTGTTGTTTTCTGAACGGTGGAGCCGTTGAATAAGTTTGGAGGCAGAGTGTGAAGAAGTCGGTCTTTCCAGGAGGTTTGCTCCTGAGCTAGTTTGGTCATAAATGTCAACTTTTCAGGCTGAAGTTCCTTGTTTGAGCTTTTTAAAGCATATGTCACCTTTATTTGTGGTGTTTTTTTTAAAGACCTTTTCCAGATGCAAGTCATTTTGTGTTGTGGAATCTTTAAGTGTAAATAAAATAAGTCGATCAATAAGGGATTTATTATCGCCCTCTGCCAAAAGACGAAGGCGGACAAGCACATTTTGTAGTCAACTCAATTCAAGGTAGCTCCTTAAGCTAACTGACTTCAGAAAATATGCTGCGATGTAGCTGAGACTGATAAAACACTATTTACACCAAACTGCTTCATTTGTAAAGAGCAATGTCTACCAAAGTGCAATAAAGCAAACTCAAAGGATTAAGAGATGCATAAACCTACAGGAAACGTAACGATCTAAAACAACAAATAAGTCAATAAAAGTACAATTAGACTGGTAATGTTTCACACGGGTCAAAGGTCGGGGAGTAACTGTACATTTCATCACAAAGTTTTGGACCTGTAATGGAAAAAAAAACATCCAGCACCTCTGAGCTTTCTATGTGTCTTTGTCCTTCCTCAACAGAAGATGGTAGTTTAAAACTGAATTAGCATGTCCGGGTGACATCTTTGGTTTTTTGGATGGAAAAAAGAAGCCGAACGATAGATTTGTTTTGTCCGGGGAGGCGAGTTTCAGATTATTTTTCCTGCTGTGAGACGGTTGGCGTCCAACCAGGACGTCTGCGACACTTTTACTTCTATCGTCCAAACCTGATCGTCTTATCGACTAATATTTTACTTAATACGCTGTACTTTTTTGTAAAACACTTTTCTTTCCGGAAATGTTTGTCCTCTAATTATTGTCATATCAGGGGTTCCCAACCCTGGTTCTTGAGGAACACGTTTCAGTTATTTCTCTGCTCCGACACACCTGAGTTTGATAAATAGGTGATTTACAGGCTTCTGCAGAACATGAGGAAGTAATTAAATCACTGAATCAGGTGTGTTGAAGCAGAGAAACAACTAAAACATGCAGGGTGGTGTTCCTCAAGGACTAGGGTTGGGAACCACTGAATTCTAGTTTGAGACTGAGCGCAGAAAAGAACAGAAGTGCCCTAAAGGAGGACGTGCATGATAGATGATCCCACCACTGAGTGATCTTTTGACCTGTTGTCTTTTGTCGTCCGTAGAGGCATTCCTGGGAAGAAATGTGGGACCATTATTGTGAAGGCAGAGGAGCTGAGCAACTGCAGGGTGAGTGCCAGGATGGAGTGAACGTTTACATTTCTGAATGTTGTCTCCGCTTTATTAAAAGTAAACGATGTCCTAATCAAAGATTTAAAAAAATCCAACTTGGGTGAAGTTAATACTGCTTTAAAAAACGATTCAGTAAGAAAATGTTTTCTCCTTGTATTTCTCATGCCCTGTTTTTCATCTGTTGAGCGTAATTACTTCTGATGTTCAGTAACTGAACAGAAACGACGTTCTTCCAAGGCAGGTTTTGGATTCAAGTTTTTACAATCGGCTTCGGTTACGTCCGCTCATTTTACGCCAGCAGAGAGATCACAGGAGATGAAGTTGAAGATCAGGGTTTCCAACAGCTGCTTCCTCAGCTCAGAGGAAAGAACGGAAGTGACCAAAAGAATACAGGGACAACTAGAGGATGAGCTAAAAGCAGCTGAATGTTAGTTATAAGTAGCAAAATGGTCATTTAAAAGCTAACTGAAAGCTAGATGTAGCAAAAAGCTAGTTAAAGACCAGAAGTAGCAAAAAGTCTAAAGTAGTAAAACACTGGCTAAATGCCAAACAAATGACGTCTGTTGGAGTCAGTCTCTCCACCATCACAGACATTTACACCTCTAGATGCAGGAAGAGAGCCACCTGCATCATGAAGGACCCCACTCACCCAGCACACACACTTTTTGCCCCACTCCCCTCAGGAAGGAGGTTGAGGAGCATTAAATGTAGAACCACTAGACTGAGGAACAGCTTCTACCCTGAGGCTGTTAGACTCATGAATCTCTAACCAGGATAGTCACTGTGAAAAAAAATCTCATCATGTTGCTGCTGATCAGTTTCATGTTGCTGCTGATCTGTTTCATGTTGCTGTGTTCATGCGTGCTCATCTGCTCACACAGACTCATGTTTGTGCTGCTGTTCGGCGTAATGTTTTTATGCTACTAATGCTTAGTGTATTTTTAGTTGATGTTTTTCTTAGTTCATATCTTAGATCTTATTACTGTTTTTCTTTTACATTTTATTGTTGGGTGTAATTGGGACCCTGTGTACATAATTTTGTTCCACCACATGTACCACATGGGGTGCGAATGACAAATAAAGAACCTTGAATCCTTGAATGAAATGGATGGGTAAAAGCAAAAAGTAGCAAAACACAAACTAAACATTGCAAACTTTTATCTAAAAGCTAAAGTGGTATAAGTAGTAAAAAGCTAGCTAAAAGCTACTTGTAGGTAAAAGCTAAAAGTATCAAGAGATTAGCTGAAAGTAGCAAAAAGCTAGGTTAAAGTATGGAAAGTCTAATTAGGAGCTAAATGCTAAACAAATTAAAAGGCTATCTCAAAGCTAAAAAAAAATCAACAACATCAAAACAGTAGCTAACAGTTGCAAAATATCTAAAAGCTAAAAGTTGTATTTAAATATCAAAAAGCTAGCTAGAAGCTAAAAGCCCCCAAAATAAACAAACGTTGCGTCAGTGTCCTACTCCTAACACAGATTTTTAAAAAGGATAATGTTTTAGAAAGAATTAAAAGGAATCTCTGTGCATTTCTTTGGTGAGAATATTCACAAAAAATGAAATGATGTGAAAATTGATTAAGAAAAACCAAAATCATAGCCCCCGTCTCCTGAATGAGCTGAACGTTTTGATAACTGAAAGGCTAAAAGGATGTCTGGCTCCTTCACGGAACTGGTGACCCGCTAGAGACCAACTTAAGAAGGTTTTATTAATAAAACTCATAAATCAAGATGAAATGTTGCAGCATGAAGACACTAACGAAACATTTAAACTTCAGCTCTGTTCACGATATTTTGTAAAGTTGTACTTTTTTTTTATGCATGATGTTTTGATGTCGTTCCATTCGCCCTTACTACAAGGTGTTTGTACTGTATCTATTAGACAACAGCATCGGTTGGTTACAAATGTTCAAACTAAACTTTCCATCGACTCTTTTTCTTGGGGTTAGGAGTCGGTGCTGATGCAGTTTTGTGGGAACAAGTTGGACAAAAAAGATTTCTTCGGAAAGTCTGATCCCTTCTTGGTCTTCTACCGGAGCAACGAGGACGGCACGTGAGTTCTCCGTTTTGTGTTCGCCTCAATCCTTCACTGCAAAGACAACGCCTTTTGCTGATTAGTCTCAGGATGATACGTAGAGATGTCAACCTGTGTTTGGCCTGTTCGATTCAGCGCTGTTGGCGCTCTCTTCCGTACCGGACATATTGGGCTTTATGCTCGCAGGGTGGAAAACACCAGCTCCACCTGCAAGTTGAGAGACTAATGAAATGATCTCTTTTCAGTGAGTGTTTCTGATTTGTTGTTTTGAGTCCATCAGTTCAGGGAAGGAGCTCCACAGCCTGCCACTTTCACAGTGTGGAAAATTTTCCATGAGAATCTTCATGCTTCCTTTCTGAAGACCTTTCTGAATATGAAAGACCGTTGATAAATCACACATTTATTTGCTTATTTACCTCCTTTTAGCTGTATTTTACATTTTCATAAACAACAGCAGCCTAATGACGTCTTTCACTCCGATTTGGTTCGGTCTTTAATCAACAGAGACTATTTGTTGTTGAGCCTGAAGGACGATTGCTCCAACTGAGCCCACTGGTTCAAGTTCAAGTTGCTTGTGATGCAGTGCTGTGTGGGAAATATGAAAAATCAGACAGTGTTTATCGTTAGAAGAGAATCTAACAATAAACATGTCATCCTGGGTGCCTCCTGAGAGGATTAAATTACACAGAAAATATGGGTAGTTGTCCTTATTGAAGGTCAGTGCACCTGCAGGGTCTCAAGTGCTGCCTTCACTATTATTCCTCCAGGAGCTACTTGAAGGCACTTTAGTGACATATGGGAGAAAATAATCAGTCTTTGTATTGTAACTGGAACACGTGTGCTCTTTTAGTTTCAAGTGTTCTCACTAAGAAAGCTGTGAAGAGTTGCTCTGCTCAGTTTGTCACCTTTCTGCTGAAAAATATAACAAATTGTAACAAAAAAATCTAAATTTCCTTTGGTAGCGGATTGGTTTTACTTCATCTCTATTTTCACATTGATGTATGAAACCTGTTACTACTTTAAAACCAAGCTGGTGCTACATCAGAAACAAGTGGCTTTAGGTCCAATGGAGGGTTTGAATGCTCGCTTCTTTTGAAAAACTGAGCCCATTAAAGAGTTCAAACAAATGAGGAATGAGGAGAACTGTAGGACTGATGGTAAAGCCAGCATCTCATTGGTTTGACTGTTTGGAGGCTAGTTGGCAACTCACCACTGTGGTCTCTGAATGTTGAGTGTTTTTGACCGAGTAATTAAAAAAAACTTAGAGCCTTTGTTCATGTGCATAGCTTGAAAAACTCTAGGCCGTGCACATTATTTTGTTGCCCATCTCTGCATTCACATCATACACACTTCAACAACAGATAAAAAGGATAAAAACAAACCAGTATTCTTGCAAAAGTGTGGTAAACCTCCAGGGTTCCAGTGCAGTCTTAGAAAGACTGGAATTTGTACTTGGTGTTTTTCGGGCCTGGATAAATCCGAGCAAAAATAAGAGTATCCAAAAATGTTTGGTTTTTCAAACTTAATTCCCTTGTGATGATCACGCCCTCTGTCCCCTGCCTCGCTCTCAGCCCCTCTTGCCATGCTTCTAGTCATCATGTTTTGGTTTCCTGGCTCACGTCAAGTTTCCGTCTGCTCCTGTCTACCATCCAACCATGCCCACTCTGTCCACTACCACAGTCAGCATCCATGCTGTTCACCTGTCACCTGCTCTACTGAAGCTCCAAGCCCTCACACATTCCTCATTCCTCATGCCAGATTATTATACCTCTCACAGTCCCTGGTATCAAGCCATTCTTGTTCATGCTTAGGTTTTGTTTTGATCTTCTTGTCACAACCTCACGCTTGTCTTCTGGAAACCCGACCTGCCTGTTCCTTTTCTGGTATTGTATTGCTTTTATGATCGCATTACCGACCTGCCTTTCTGGATTTATGGCTACGACGCACGGATTATCATTTTGGATTTGTTACTGGAACGGACTCCCTGTGTATGACCCTCGCCTGTGTTTCTGGACCTGGTTTTTCGGATCTCACTCTCTTCCGATCTGCCTTGCAGCTCCTTGTCACCGAGTAAGGTGATGAGGTGACGTCATCCTGTCCTACCCCTTCAGGTGACCCCCACCCCTCTTGTCTGCAAAGGTGTCTCTCTCTCCCTCCTACCTGTGAGGACCTGTCACCGCAGTTGGACCCTGACTTTTCCAGCAGCTGCAAACCAAATACAAGAAAAAACTGTTCTCAATTTTACTCTTGTGTCTGGCTGATTTTGTATCCACAACCCTGATCTTTGACATCCCTAATCCATTTTCTAAATGAAAAAAATTTGAACTCCTAAAATAAAATTGCTCCAACGTACTTTTAACTATGTTTTGTAAACCTATTGAAAATTAAAAGATGTTAAAACGGTGCAAAAATGTATTACTAATAAACACTGACTGCAACTAGCCCAACTCGAAAGCATAGGGTGTTTATGCAAAGGCCTTGTGTACACAATACCCTTTTTTAGTGAAACTACCATTTCTATTGCATTTTTGCTGTTCATGTATACAACAACAGCAGCCGTGTTCTTTGACACCAAGGCTTTTAAAATCCAGATCTCAGAGTGGAGGCTTTTGCAAATGCCTGCCATTGTTTCAAAGTAAAACGTAACTTATGCACACATGCCATGAACAGCTGTAGTCAATAGGTTTTTTTGTGCAAGTATCTGGACAACCGTAACAATGGCGAATAGCTCAGTGTTGTTGCTTGTACTTTTCAATGTGTAAGAGCAACCCAACCTCATCCTTGGTCCAAACAAGCTGTCATGTATTTACCATTTTGGATGCAACTGTTTTCAGGCTCAAGACTAATCTCTGCGTGCCGTTGGAATGTAATTATTACAGCGCCATCTAGTGACCTAGCATGGAAACTACAGCGGTTTTGACAAGCACAAAAATATCCACGTAAACATGCAACTTTTGCACAATCAATACTGAAAAATTAACGTTTCCTGAGATTGTTCAAGTGTAAACTGAGCCAGAATGGCTATATTTGGTTGAGCGTATCGTCATTTTACTGGAAGTTTTATCGAATGTGTTTTGAGCCTTGTGGTTAGGATCATACCGTTATTCAGAAAACACTGTAAGAAATCTGTATTTGGATCAATTATTCCCAGACATTAGGCCCGGGGAGCTGATAGTGAAAAGATGAAACGTGTGCCTTAACTTTATTTTTCAGTCTTTGGTGATCTTTAGTCACATTTTTACATTTCTTCTCCAGGTTTACCATCTGCCATAAGACAGAGGTGGTGAAGAACACGCTGAACCCCGTGTGGCAAGCCTTTAAAATCACAGTGCGATCTCTTTGCAATGGTGACTACGACAGGTAGGAATTCATTTCTTCCCCCACTTTCCAATTTACATTCATGCAAGGTGAATGTCTTGACCATCCTTGGGTTTTATTCTGCAGCATTCAACATAATGAAAATGTCACTGTTGATATGAGCATCCCTGGAGACGAGCCTTAATGGCCTCTCCGGGCTTCAGCAGGGATTTATCAGGTTATAAACGCACACAAAAATACATTGCATAACCTCTTTAAAGATGTCTGTTATTAGGGGTTTCTTTAAATGATAAAATAAGACAACTTTGGACAGTTTAAATACCTGTCAGAAATGTGCATATTTGTGTTTTCTAAGGTCATTTAGCTGTGGCGGCCATCTTTAATTAGTTCATCAGATGAACATTCAGTGACTATTTCCAGAGATATCAACTGTAGTGATCGACCTCTTGTGATTGTTTACCATGAGATGGAAACAGAATGTGGATGTGAACTAAATAAATGTGACACCATATTAAAAAAACATATGTTTATTGATCAAGAAGCTACAGAGCGAGGCATTCATACTTGCGTACAATTTAAATAAAAATATGTTGAAGCTGGTTGAAGCTGCTCCAGCAGCAGAGCAAACAGGTGGTCCAGGTCCAGTTTCTATAGTCCAGGTCCAGTTTCTATAGTCCAGGTGTAGTTTCTATAGTCAGTTGCAGTTTCCATAGTCCAGGTGTAATTTATATAGTCCAGGCGTATCTTTTATACTCCAGATGTAATTGCTATAGTCCAGGTACAGTTTCTACAGTCCAGATGTAGTTTCTGTTTTCTAGATGCAGTGCCTAAGGTTCAGGTGTAGTTTCTATAGTTCAGGTATAGTTTCTATAGTCCAGTTGTACAAAACGGATTCCAAAAAAGTTGGGACACTAAACAAATTGTGAATAAAAACTGAATGCTGAAAGGGTTATTCTCCTGATAACACCTAAAAGAATTCACACACAAGACAGCGCGTAAGTTTTCTTTAAAAAAAAAAAGGCTCTCTGCAGAGGTGGGAGTTCTTGACCTGACCAAACGTCAATTGTAGAAGTCCGACCGTCCGACTGGGAAGCTCGTATTTTATTTAGGAGGAGGGGGTGTGGGAAACAGGCCCAAATCAACAGATACAGATCTCTCAGACGCAGCGGAGACACAAGATTACTAACAGACGGTTTGATTACCTTACAGGATAGCCGGAGTAGCGAGGTCATATAACAGCATGGTTGTTTAAAAACCCAAGGTCTGTTGTCTTACTACACACGCACATGAAGCTGAGAACAAAACTCTGGCTGTTTAAGGTTTTCTTCAGTTCACACGACTGGAGTTTAAACAACTAGTAAGAAGTCTAAAAATATTTTTAAATGATAACATTTTAATTTATCCAACAAATGCAATGATGTGGAGATGGCAAATGTCAATATTTTATTTGTAATATAACATAGATGACAGATCAAAAGTTTAATCTGAGTAAATGTAACATTTTAAAGGAAAAATATGTTGATTCAAAATTTCACAGTGTCAACAAATCCCAAAAAAGTTGGGACAAGTAGCAATAAGTGGCTGGAAAAAGGAAATTGATCATATAACGAACAGCTGGAAGACCAATTAACACTAATTAGGTCAATTGACAACATGATTGGGTTTAAAAAGAGCTTCTCGGAGTGTCAGTGTTTCTCAGAAGCCAATATGGTAAGAGGATCACCAATTCCACCATTGTTGCGCAGAAAGATAGTGCAGCAATACCAGAATGGTGTTACCCAGCGTAAAATAGCAAAGACTTTTAAGTTATCATCATCAACCGTGCATAACATCATCAAAAGATTCAGAGAATCTGGAACAATCGCTGTGCGTAAGGGTCAAGGCCGTAAAACTCTACTGGATGCTCGTGATCTCCGGGCCCTTAAACGTCACATGTAGTTTGTAAAGTTCAGGTGTAGTTTATATAATCCAGGTGTAATTTTTACAGTCCAGGTTAGTTTATATAGTCCAGATGCAGTTTCTATGGTTCAGGTGTAGATTCTATAATACAGGTCTAGTTTCTATGATCCAAGTACAGTTTTTATAGTCCAGGTGTAGTTTCTGTAGTCCAGATGCAGTTTCTATGGTTCAGGTGTAGATTCTATAGTCCAGATGCAGTTTCTATGGTTCAGGTGTAGATTCTATAGTCCAGATGTAGTTTCTATGGTTCAGGTGTAGATTCTATAGTCCAGATGTAGTTTCTAAAGTTCAGGTGTATAGTCCAGGTGCTGTTTCTATAGTCTAGGTGCAATTTATATTATCCAGGTGCAGTCTCTATGGTCCAGGTGTAATTTCCAGGTGTATTTCTATAATCCAGGAGTAGTTTCAATGAGGAGGAAGACCAAGATAAACACGTTTAATCTATAAATAATTACAAATATAAACATGGACAGTAAAGCAAGCAAAGATGGCTGCAGAGTGAAGAAATGTGGTCAGTTTGTCCTCCAGCAGTCTAAGCCTACAGCAGCAGTACTAAAGGATAACTCGGGGAAACCCAAGCTAACCCTGACTACATGATTTATCACAAAGAAAAATCTTAATCCTTGTTTTAAGTTTTAAAAATAGACGATGTGTCAGGCTCACAGACAGAAACTGGAAGTTGTTTCCACAAGAGAGGAGCCTGATAACTGAAAGATCTTCCTCCCATTCTACTTTTAGACACTTTAGGAACCAGAAGTAAACCTGCAGTCTGAGAGAGAACTGCTCTGTTTGGAATACAAGATGGAGCTAGGTTGTTGAGAGCTTTGTATGTTGGAAGTAAGATTTTAAAATCTGAATTTTATAGGGAGCCAATGGAGAGAAGCTAAAACTGGAGAAACCAGCCAGCCTCTTGACTGATTTTTTTTATTTTCAGAGGTGCAACTTTATCAAGGGATGTATTAATGGAATCTTATCTTGACATTAAACAGATTAATTTGGTAGTTATGTCATTTGCCATGCACAATGATGAGTCCAGTTCTCTCTTTCACAAACCAGGATGAATTGAAGCAATTAGCTAAATACGTTTCTTGACGGGCAGCAGCATTGTTGGCTTTTCTGCAGATTGTTTTAAAGAGCCAGATAATAAAACTCCACTGACTGGAGGCTTTAACTTTCACGTCTGCTCCATTAAGTATCCTCCAGATGTGATGTCATTTGGTAAACAGTAGATGAAAAGAGGCTGCAATTAACCAACTGTACAGTAACTCTGCAGGCTGAAGATAAGTCGGTAAATCAATGTCTTCCTGTCCGGGATCTCAGGTTTGTGCATCTGCAGAGAGATTATCGTTAGTGGACAAATCCTGGAAGGGCCAGAGATGGAGCGGCTGTCAGTGGTGCTCAAAGCTGGAAAAAAAAAAAACGAGCTACAGGATTTTGTCTTCTAACTCGAGGCAACGCTTACAGCGGAGGGGATGGATTCAGAAATCTTTAAACAGATCATTGAATATACATCTATAATTGATTACCCTTTGGTCTCAGCCATTGGCCGTCACAGCCTTCTGATCTCTGGTTACACAACAACGGTTATAACTCGGCCAATTTTATGGATATTACCATATTTTTCGGACTATAATGCGTCCCGGATTATACGGCACATGAAGTAAAACGAAAACATTTTTGACAGATTTTTGAGCGCCGTGTACCACATAAAATCAGTTTGAGGGTTAGTAAGCACAACCAGAATTAATACATAAGGCGCACCAGATTATAAGGCTCAATGTTGATTTTTGAGAAAATTAAAGAATTTTAAGTGCACCTTATAGCCCAAAAAATACAGTAAGCTGAAGTTTGGTGTTGTAGTAGTCGAGAGTCATCCCCAACAAGCGTGCATCATTTATTTTTAAGGTTTTACCACATCTCAGTTTAAAGTTCTTAAAGGAGACGGGTGTTATGCATTCCTTCAAAGAATGACATGCCTTTAATTCAGATTAAACGTTTCTTTATTTTATTGGTGATTAAAGATTATTCTAATTATTCCTTAGACACTTCTACCTTTTCTGTAAATAATCCCCCCCCAGTAGTGAATACATTTGAAAGATTAAATGCTTTGTTCATATTATTTCAAAACAGTGCTTTTTTAAAAATTATTTGCAAAACATGCATAAAATATAAATTTTTTACATTTTATATGCTTATTATTTACCGTCTTTTTCAGACTATAAAGCGCATTAAGCAAAACTAAAACAGCCAGATAAGTCGAACTTTATTCAACTCATAATAATAATGCATTTTATTTGTTAGCGCCTTTCAAGACACCCAAGGACACTTCACAACATTAAAAACACAAAATAAAACGATACAAAATGGCTTTAAAAACACTAAACCAAGAAGAAAATAACAAAAAATTAAAGTGAGAAGGCTAAAACTTGAACAGGTGAGTTTTGAGTTCATTCACAATAAACACATAAAATGGGTTCGAGATCAGTAAACACAACCAGAATTAATACATAAAGCTCACTGTCGATTTTTGAGAAAATTAAAGAATTCTAAATGCACCTTATAGTCCAAAAAATACGCTAGTTTGAAACATCTTGATTTGTCTTTTGTGCAGCCCCTCAGACAAAGGTTACACAACACCTTCAGGAAAAAGTACAAGTCTTTAAAGTTGGAAAACAAATAAATAGATGGAGGCGTCTCCTCCGCGCGCGTGTGTGTATGTGTGTGAAAAGGGCAGAAAGAAGAACACGAGTTTATCTCAGCTGAGCTAACAGACGGCACCATTGATCTGAGGTCCAGTCCAATAAGCTTAGCGGTGGAGTCTCATCGTGTCTTCTTATCAACAGGAGACTGGTAGCTGCGCGTACAGTACACAAACACGCACACGCACACGCACACAGAGGTGCTATGTTGCCTGGAACAAGAGATAACAGGAGGTTCAAGCTGACAAACAAAGATGGAACAGTGCCTTTTTGTCTGTAGAGGTGTTTTGCTGGGCCACACACGCACTTGTCTGTTTTTGTTGCATCATCAAAGCTCATAGCTGCTGTTTCCACAGAGCGGTGGCCCAACACAGAACTAATGAGGAAAACACAAACAGTCGTAGGCAGCTCGGCTCCAGTGACGAGTGCCACTCCAAGCAGGAGCCCGATTCCTCCGACAGCCTCCGGGTTCCTAAGCTTCCTGTCGTGCACATCTGGCTCCAACCATCGCTTATATCTCCACTACTTCTCATGCTCGGGGATGAGCGATAATGTTGTTTAGAACAGAGTCACTGAATTATGAACAGCGCTTTGAGGATTTAATCTCTGGATGTGCAGCTGATAAACTTTGGGAGTCGACTCGAGTCTGTCGGGATCAGTTTTTCTTTATTTTTGTCTTTTCCTTTGCGTTTGTTTTTGGTAATTATGTTTGTTTTCTGTATTTAGTGCTGAGTTTTGGGTCTCTGGGCCAGTGTGTGCAATCCTGGTCCTGAGGGTTGCTGTTCTGCATGTTCTAGATGTTTCTCTGCTCCAACACACTTGATTTGAATCAATCAGTGTAATTCTGTAATGTTTAGCTCTATACCCAAACAGTGGTGACCAAAAAAAGCAACTTCAAGACCAGTGGAAGTTTAGCAGTAGGCTGAAATTCAGCAGGGAGTAACTGGAACCTGTTGGGAGCCAAGGTTGTCAGAGAGGCAAAGGTCCAAATGGTTCCAGTAACAAGGAGTGAGGAAGTTCCAGAGATGTGCAGATATCGGTGGGCAAGTGGTGGAAGGTGAGGAATAACTGCAGCGATCACGAGGAGGCTTTAGAAGAAACCAGGGAGGTCCAAGGCACAGGAGGAACAGGAGTCAGTGCAGTAGGCAGGTAATGCACCAGCGTTGAAGTGAAGTCATCTACAGTAGTCCCTCGCTACTTCACGTTCGTTTATCGCAGACTCGCTCTATCGCAGTTTTTCAAAATAAGATTGGACATGACACACAATTGGCTGATTGATGGATGAGCCGCACGATCGGCATGTAATTTTTATTTAAATTAGATTATTTTAAATTATTTGGCACCTGCTGCGCATTTGTGCAGGCCAGAGCTGCAGAAAAAAGCGTCCTCCTGCACCGTTGTGCAGCCCACACTGCAGGATAAACTTCCTGCTGCAGCTGATCAGCTGTTCTCCGTGCAGAGCGGAGAAGTGGGCGTGGCCAAGAGCGCTTAAAGGTGGCAACGAACAGAGTTTAGAAACATTGTTTAGAATATTGCAAGAGTGTGGGTAGGGTTTAAAACGCCTTTATATATATATATATATAAAATAAACTACTACTTGTACTACTATTCCTACTTTGCGGTTTTTCACTTATCGTGGGTCTTCTGGGTATGGATTCCCCACGTTAAAAGTTGGACTACTGTACTGCCGTATAAACTCCTGCAGCTCATTAGGGGACTGGTCCACAGGTGTGTACTTGTTGGCGCCATCTGGTGTAGAAAACGGAAGGAGAAAAATTGTAAATCCTACAAATTCAACCACTGAATCAGGTGTGTTGGAGCAGGGAAACATGGAAAATGTGCAGGAAAGTGACCTTGAGGACCAGGATTGGACCTGCTCTGTCAGTTATAATCCAGTTCCAGCCTTCATTAAGCCCAGGTGTCTTCATCTTCTCATTAGCCCATGTCTCTATCGTCCATCTGCTTCCATTCATTTGTCCGTCGAGCATTTCTGCTTCTCAAGCCTCATCCGGTTCTCACCAGTTTTCCTTGTGTTCTTCAGTTCAACCTCCTTCAGCTGTGACAAATTAGAGATGGCAGCCACAGCTTAGGCCTTAGCGAACACAAACTGGCTCCAACTAAAGCAATGTTACAGATAATGAGCTAAAATTTGGTGTGGTAGTAGCCGAGAGGATTCTCTAACTCGTAGTTTAGCGTGCTAACTGATTGTGCAAGATATGAGTTGTAAACTTTACCAGTAACTCCTGGAATCAGTTCTATTATCTGAATATCTCATGAACCACTGGACAGATTTGATTGAAGCTGTAAATAATCACTGGATGTTCATCGGATGAACTGATTCATGATGGCCGTTACAGCCATGTGACCTTAGAAACCACAAGAAATGGCCATAACTTAGTCTATTTTACAGAGCGCTGTTTTTTTTTTATTTTTTATTTTCAGTTTGTTCTTTCAGTTTAATCTTTAGAAGAGACACAGAAGTTGAAGTTATTGAAAGATAGAGTGAAATATTTGCCTCGTTGCAGGCTGTTCTTTGAGTTTTTTGTTCTCATTTCTTCATAAGCTAAACAGGCTGTGCAAGCAAACGCATCATAAGATTAGGAGCTAATATTACTGGAGGTAAATACAGGAGCAGGTAGACGTATTTTTAATAAAGACGAGCAGCAGAGAGGATTTTCTTCAAATAAAATTTCCATGACAACACTGGTAAAAGAAAAAAGTGTTTCCCTGATGGTTTGTTGGGTGAAATAGCTACTTATTTTATGGTTTTATGTCTTTTTTTAACATTGTGATGCCTTCAGGAATAAAGAGAACCCACATTTAGAACAAAATGCGAAGATTTCACGTCGTTTAATTCACATTGACATTTTAAACTACGGACATTGTACCATTTTTAGGAACAAGTTAAGGTAATTTGATTTTTTTTTTTTACAGCAACACGTCTCTAACATTGGGCCGGACCGTGTTTCTACTGTGAATCATCCCATCTTCTTTTAACAACTGTCTGTAAACATCTGACAGGGGTGTCCAAACTTTTTTATGCATGGGCCAAAACTGACGAGATGAAAAACGAAAATGGTGAAAAAGCATTCCCTTTTTTCAGATTTCTTTTAAATAAAATAAACTCTATGAACAATATTTTGGAGAAAGGACGAGCTTATTAATTTTGTTGGAGAAAAAGTTCTAAATTGTTATTATTTAATTTGTTGGGTTTGCTGTTTGTTGTTTTCTTGTGCTTAGAACGTTCATTTTAGTCTTTTCTTAGAAACAAAACAATAATTTAAGTAACTTTTCTTTAAAAATTGGGTAGATCACCCATTTGGACCATGGACCGTACAGAGTTTGATCGACGTTATGAAAAATCATAAGCTGGGAGTCACTCTAAGAGTCATAGCATGTTTAAAGGGACATTGTATGCTGATGATACCGCTTTATATTCCTTTAAAAATGTCCATTACCCTCCATTTATTAGTAAATCAGCTGCAGTTTTTTTTTAAAACACACATTTAGCCAAGTTTTGTGAATGACTATTCATGCTTTGTAGCATGAAATGGAAAAAAAGGATTAATTATAGCCAAAGGTTTGTACTGTACTTAATATTGGTCATTTTATAGAATAGAATAGAAACAGCCTTTATTGTACCACGGATGGGATTTTTTGAGAAATACATTTTCATGTTTTGCTGTTAAACCTAAAAATTATATTTAAAAAGTATCACCAAAGAGTTTGTAGAAGTTTTACATCTGCATCAACGTCTTTAAGTCTTAGAGCTAAAATGATACCATTCTTAAGTCGCAGTCGAGGGCCGCACAAAATCAATCCAAGGGCCCCAAATGGCCCTTGGGCCGTACTTTGGACGCTCCTTATCTAAGAACTGAGGAGACCAGCTGCTTACATTTCATGGTGCCTTTCCAGATGTGTGAGCAGCCCATGCCAGATGCACCCCTATATCATCAGAGAAGCACCCATTTGAACTTTATGCTGTTAACAAACTGAATGGTCCCTCGTCTTGAGAACGGTGAATGTGGTTTCCATTAAAGAATAAAATAAAATTAGATCCGTCTGACCTCAGAACAGTTCTCTCTCTTTGCCTCGGTCCATTTCCAATGAGCTGTAGCCCCTGAAGGGCCGAAGATCACAACCCTCCAATACTCGCGTTCAGCCTCGTCCTTTGAGATTTCTCAGGGTTAGTCAAAGTCCTCCCAGTTTCATAGACTGGTGAACCTCTGCCCATCTTTACTTCTTAGAGAGCTTCTCTAAAATGCTGTTTTTAAACCCAATTCTTTTCTTGACCCGTTTACATTTAACCTGATATTTTTCATTGTGCAAAATTCTTCTCCAGTTGCATCTTAATCGTACCACTTACTTTTACAGCCTGTTGTATTTAGAAATGTCCCGCTGCCATAAAATTCAAAATGACCTTTTTTTTTTAAGTACATCATCTTAGTTGCAACAATGGACGTGTTTTCTACGTTCCATTGGGAATAAAACATTGGTTTATTTTCACCAAATCTCTCAATTAAAAAAAAAAAAATGGTTGTATAAATGAAAAAGAACGTGTTTTTGTGTTTTTCTCTCTCACCAGGACAATCAAGGTGGAGGTTTACGACTGGGACAGAGACGGCAGGTGAACATTTACTGTTCTCAAACCATCGTAGAAATATTTAAACTTCACAGTAATGTTTACACTAATGTAGGAAAAAAACCACGATGTGGAAGATTAAAAATATCTTGTTTTTTTAATTTGTAACTTTTGCAGGTTTTACCTGTTGGTTTTGTCTTGATTTTGTTTAAAAAGTTTATAAATAAAAGTAAATGATCACCCGTGTCAAAGACGGTCATTAGCTATAATTAACTTCATATCATCTTTAGGCATGTTTAAAATGTTCTGATTTTGTTTATCGCCACCTGCTGTCCTGGCAGAGGTACTACCAGCTTGCTTGATTGTGTTTTCCGGACTATAATTAACAGACTTTGAATGCCTTAGAGGAAATGACAGCGATGATTTTTTTATTTCTTCTATCTCATAGTGTGAATGTTTATCAAACATTCACTTGACTGTGATCCATTTTTCTTCCGTACATTTTTCAGCATCTTTCTTGTTCCGCAATTTTTATGCTATTTCAACAAATCATAAATCAAAACGTTCAGCTCTTTCAGGACAATCCTGCTGTGACTTTTGATATTAGTTCAACTTTAACTTTTTCAAATATTTAGCTTTTTTTGATGTTTTTTCCTCATAAAAAATGAGTTGAGCTCATTTTACATCCTTGAAATCTTCGGATCTGTTTACAACCTTTTACTGCTCCTTTCACATTTTGTTCTGTTTCAGCTTCTTTCAAAATTTAATCTTTTTTTAGCTACTTTCAGCTGTTTTTTCAGTGGTTTTGTGCTCCTTTCAGATTCTTTCTGTGAACTACAAGATTTTTGTGCTTCTTCTAACTTATTTCTGCTAATTTCAGCTTGGTATGCTCCTTTCAGCTTATTTCTGAACGTTTCAGCTTTTTCTACTATTTCAGCTACTATTTACTTGGTTTTATTCTAATATTAGTTTTCTGCTAATCCCACTTGTCTTTGCACCCATTTCAACTTTTTTCAGCCTAATTCAGAAAAAAATGTGCTCTCTCCATTTCATTTAGGTAATTTAAGCTTCTTTCTGCTTTTTTTAAAGCTTTCTTTTCCCAGTTTTTGTTTTTGTTGCTGAAAATTTCAGCTTTTTTCTGATAATTTCCACTTTTCTGTGTTCATTTCTGCTTTTTTCAACGTAATTGCGCAAAAATGTTCTTTCTGCTTTCTTCTGCTTATTTCAGCTTGTTCTACCTTTTCAGTTAGCTTTTTGAAATTTTATTTAGCTAATTTCAGCTGTTTTCTGATCATTTCAAGATTTTTGTGGTAATTTCGGCTGCTGTCAGTGAAATTAACTTCTTTCTCTTCATTTCAGCTGGTTATGCTTGTTTTAGCCTAATTATGCTAATTTCAGCTAGTTCTGCTATTTTAGCTACTATTAAGCTGTTTTATGCTAATTTTAGCTTTTCCAGCTAATTCTACATTTTTTAGCTCATTTCAGCTCTTTACACTTCCTACTGGTAGCTTAAGCTTCTTTCTGCCTTTTTCTGCCTTTCAGCTACTTTTCAGCCATTTTTTTGCTCATTTCAGCTCTTTTTTTTAAGCTAATTTCCTTATTTTTGTGCTCATTTCTGCTTATTTAAACTTAGTTCAGCAAATATATGTTCTTTCTGCTTTCTTCTGCTAATTTAGGCTTGTTCTTCCATTTTAGCTACATTTCAGCATATTTTTAGCTAATTTCAGCTGTTTTTCAGCAAGTTCTTCTGCAATAAGCGTTCACACTGCTTCTTTGCAGGAAATGCAGTTCCTCTAGTTGTATTTAAATTTAACGTGTCATCATTCTGTTGCGTTAAACCGACCCAGGCGGCTACTAATTACCTACAGTCTGTGTTTTCAGCAAATTAAAGAGCCGAGAGGATCACTTTATCTTGAATCTGGATTCTTGCTGCTGCAAAAAGTTTGTTGTTTTTAGTGAATCGGGAAGGATTTATTTTTTCTGCTCTTTAAAATTTGGGTTGTCAGAATCTGACCGAAAACGCTGAGAACTGCTGCGATGTTTTCCACGAGGGGCCCAGAGCGAACGAGTGGTTTGGGACTCAAATGAGTTTGCTGTAAAATCATTCCTGCATCAATATTTTCTGTTCTTTTCTTTTCGTACCCTTCTGCGTAGTCACGACTTTATCGGAGAGTTCAGCACCAGCTACAGAGAGCTCTCCAGAGGACAGAGCCAGTTCAACATGTACGAGGTGAGTGCGTGTGCATGTGCAGGACTGAAAGTATCCATTTCAAAGCGAGGCCTTCATCCAGAACCTTGTAAAGGTTAGTGGGTCCCACGCTGGACTGCAAATACATTTTCATTTATTTATGTTGCCTCAATAATTAAATATTATTACAACAAAGCTACTTTTTTTTTTAATTGTGCTCCACTGAATTGAGAAAAACATGTTTTAAAATGTCATTTGTGACACTTGTTATATTGTTAAAAAGCACCGGTAAAATAACAGAAATCGTCCATTTTAAGATGATGTTCAATTCTATAAGAAGATATACAGCAGAACAACAAAGTTTGTGTATTTTGGTGCATAAGCATCAAAATCCCCTTCTTACCAGTCAACAATTGATCTTATGTTTACATCAGGGGATTTCAGGAACCATCAGTCTTCTTCCACTCCAATTCAAGAATATTTAAGATCGGACTTGTAGTTTTTACAGAGACGGTTTGAGGTTTAATTTTCAGTCTGTTTTTTTTTTCTCTGTCTCTCATTAACCTGGCAGTTGTAGTGAGACACGGAAGTGATTTCCATTGTACTGTCACTGCGACTCGGGTTTTAACGGTCTTGGTTTTTCATTTAACTCGATGTGGGCGGGATCGTCGTGGCATGGCCGCCCGAAACGTCCGCAACGTTGGTTTCAGAATCAGAATAAGAATGAGCTTTATTATCATTGCACCGAAGAACAACAAGATTATAATCCGTACAGTCGACTGACAGATGGGCGGAGTGCACATGGCTGCAGCTCCTAGGAGCGCGGCCCTTATTCCTTAGAAAGAAAAACGGGAAAGACCACGAGGAAAGGGTGGTGGTATTAAAAAAAGATCTCTTCACACCTTGTCCTTATCACACGATTTAAGACATCAAAAAACTGCACCAGCAAGCATTTATCGACACATTACATATGCGATTGACGAAAAGACTGTGAGATTTGTCCATGAAGCACTTCCAGATAGCGCCGTAGTCCTGATAAGACGTTGGTGTCAGCCGGTACAGCTCTGATAAGCGTTCACAGAAGTTCTTGTGGGTCTGTGTGGACGCATGCTTCAAGGCTGCACGGGGAGGCCGGATTCAGATAAGCCACAGTTGTTTGTGTGCAGGCAGACTGCTTTTTCTCGTCAGCCTCGAGTTCTGCTGGTACTTTCCATGATCCAAAATGGACAGATTCGTGAGCTTTCCGCTGCTCCGTGCTTATTAACTTCCTCCAAGTTCGACCCCAACATGCTGGCGAGTCCCAGAAGCCGCAAGTGGCCTACGATTCTCGTCAATGGCTTCCATCTTACGGTTGAGTTGTTTCTATCCAAAACAACAAAGCGACGAGTAATTAAAAGAATTAAAGTCACTAAACTCAAGCCCCCTTGACCAAACACTTTTATCCTCTTAAGTCCCGAGCTTTTGCTTGGTGCACATTTTTCATTTCCCCCTACCTATTTAGGATTAGTAGAACCTCATAAGCATTAAAACCAGCAGTGTTTTGATCAATAATGAGTAATATATATTATATTTACAATAAATCTTAAAACCTTGTCCCCTCGAATAATAAAAACCGGTTCAAAACCAATGTCAACACATAAATTTAAATTTAGAGAGAGGACAAGTTGACTAGTGAGAGCTTTTCTTAATAAGTTATATCAACTGGAAGTTAAAAAAAAACCTAAAGTTGACCTGACAATCAGATTAGTCCGATGTATGACGTCAACACAACAAATCTCCTGAATTTCTGTTCAGGCTTTTGGTTTAGGTCAGTCCTTCTCAAATAGTGGGGCGCGCCCCCCTGGGGGGGCCCGGAGCAATGCCAGGGGGGCGCATGTGATCTCAAACAATTTGCAGCAGGGATTAGTTTTTTTTTTTTTGCACCATTCTCATTTTGTCAGGGTGCGTTCAGCAACTGTTTGCTAAAATCCGGCAACTCTCAGTCTTAATAATAATAAAGTTATGAACAAATATGTCCGACTTGTCGTTTGGGGAGTCGTGCTTGAACTGTGTCGCTGCAGCGCGCCTTACCTGCTCTTCCTCTTCCTCTTTAACATTTTTTTTTGTTTGGTTTTTACTTTGTCAAAGCACAATTTTGATGGGTTTTTTTTAAATACAGAAGTGATGTTTAATAAATGTTAGGACTCTATTCTTTGCTAACAAAATATATTTTATGTCATTAAACAACTTGTCAGGTTCTTCTCTTGTGAGCGCGTTCCCCTGGACACACACACACACACACACACACACACAGGTTTGTTTTGCTATCTTTATGGGGCCTTTGCATTGACTTCCATTCATTTTTCATTCATTTCTATAGCCTAACCATGACCTTTATCCTTAACCTAACCATTACCAGTACATACCTAACCCTAAACCTAACACATCCTCAATTCACACCTTAGTCCTAAACCTAGCCCCTAACCCACCAACGGGACTTCTTCTTATGGGGCCCGGGCTTTGGGCCCCATAAGGAGCAGTTGGTCCTCACAATGCAGTATAAGTTGGAAAAATGGGCCTCACAAAGTAGCATAAACAAGGACACACACACACCCAGCCCGCTCGCTCTGCGCTCTTTGCAACTTCTCTTCTGCACTGAGACCAAGTCCAGGTCCAGGTCCAGCTAAACATTGAGCAGGAGCTGAGAGCTGCATAGATCATGTTTCAAACTTTGCTTCAAACAGCTGTGCACTGCAAAACGTGCTCATTGTAGCCATTGATCCATGACTTCCTCATTTTAATTAAAAAAAAAAAAACAGCACAAATTGTTTTATTCATTTTTGTTTTGTAGGTCAAAGTGTTTTATATAACTCTCCTGACTTACAATGTTGCTGATCAATTTGAATTTATTTATTGATTGTATTTAATTAGATTTTTCAGTATCAAATGGTCAAAAATGTTTACAGTTAAAATAAGGATAGATTTTTTTTTAATTTCAGGCAAATTGATGCACTTTAAGTCTTTTCTGTTACAGACTATAAAACAATGTTAATGATCTTTGTTGTAAGTTGATCTATATTTCTTTATTTATTTAATTTAATGTTAATAAGGATACAATGTTATGTAGAGGTGTACTTATAACAATTTTATAGATAAATTATAATATTTACAGTCGCGGCGGAGAGCTGGGGGGGTGCAAAATGTTTAGCGTAACAGAAAATAATTGAGAAGCACTGGTTTAGGCGCCACCATTGAATTTCAATAGGTTTTCAGTGAAGCTGCCCCCAACATTGGTACCCCATCAAAAGGAAGGCGCCGCTGGTCGACCTGCCCAGACTTGAGCCCCTGAAGAAGACGCATGGTGACCAACGTTGAGAAACACGAAGCAGCTTTTATTTAGTTTTTATCTCTGTTCTCTCTCTTCGTTACACTGTTTCCTTGATTATTCAGAATTTTCTAGGTTTTGATTTAATTTATCTTTAGCTGAGTGAAATCAACACATGAAACCGATATTGTAAAATATTACATCGTTATAACGTAAATATAGACGGGGGAGTAGTGGCACAGAGGTTAGAGATGGTGTGCCTGTGATCGGAAGGTTGTCGATTCAACTCCCCGGACAGACAACGTCAAAAAAATGTGGGTGGAAAGTGAAGCACCCACAGCGACCTCCACTCCCCTGGAAACCCCTCTGCTCCACACAGAGGGCTGTGGTTGCGTCAGGAAGGACATCCGGTTTAAAAACAATCTCCAAGTCTTCGTGCGACTTGATTTGCTGTGGTGAAGGGAGCAGCCGAAAGAAAAAAAACAGCAGCAACTAATTCATATTTTATGTTTTGGACATTTCCAGACGTGAATCTTCTAAACGATCTGTTTTATTGACGCATATTGACTTTATAATGGATCAGCGGCTTATTGTCTTTCAGGAAGAGCGAACACTTCTAGAGTGCTACACGGAGAGGGGGGGCACACACGGGAAGGCGGTTTAAAACCGCTGTTTCTAATAAGCACACACACGTGCACACTTAGTAATTTTGTAATTTTCTCGTCCGCCCTTTTGTGCGACCCCCGTTTTTTTTCTTTAATCATCAGTCTGAGCTTAAAGGAGACGATTCGTTTGCACCTACAACTGCGCTTGGAGTGATTTTGTGTGTTACAGTCACATTTCAGTTCACCTCCAAGGACAAACGTGCCTCATGGCTACCTGCTCAGAGTAAACCAAGGAGAAATGCAAAACTCCACACATTTATCTGTTTTTTTTTTTCTGGAAGCCCTGATATTCCGTTTAACCTTGACACGGTTTAATGGGAACACATCCTGCGTTTGAGATTCAGAAGGAGTTTCTGTCTGGTTTCTTTATCACAGGATGTGTTACTCAGCCCTGGTTGTTACGAAACATGACATAAATGAAGGGCGACGGATGAAAGCAGTGGTGTTTTTAAATAACATATGAAGCAAAATGAGAAGTAGAAGACTTTTATCTTTATATTTCTATTTATCCTCTAAACCCTGACCTCCTTATGCTTCATACGTCATTCCCAGTTGGTTACAAGCGTGCCATTTTTAATAGTTTAATTACTTTTCACCACACTGGATTTTCCTCCTTAGCGGAAGAATAATCGTTTATTTATTAAGTCTGACAATGAATCTGAAGAAACATTAGATTTTAAAGTGAAATCAACCTCCAGCTTGTTTTATATTTGTTCTGTCTCGGTGGGATCTCATTCTTCAGGGGCCGAGATGGTGTAGAGGAAGAGCAGCCGACTTGGGACCAGAAAGTCGCGGTTTGATTCCCCGCCATGCCCACATGTTGTGCTGTCCTTGAGCAGGACGCCTAATCCCTAATTGTTCTCTGGGTGCTTACTTAGCTTCCCACTGCTCCACCTGGTTGTATCCCAGGTGTGATGGGTTAAATGCAGAGAACTAATTTTGTCATTGTGTAGGAACATACAGTGATGACAAATATAGCACTTATTATTATAGGGGTTTTATCCAGTGGTGTAGTCTACACGATACATGGGTATTCAGAGTATACCCACTAGAAAAGCTAAAGAATTTCCTTATACCCACTTAAAAGTGCCCAATGATGCATGCCATATAATTAGGCACGTGTCATTGATACATTAAACAGTAGTTAAACGCTTCCGTAACAATCCATCAGTATGCAGCGCTTTGCTTTGATACTGTTGTATACATTCTATAACATGTTTTTAATACAAAACCAACTGTTGTACAAAGTTTCTTGCTCATTTATTCAAATATAACCATCAGAAAAATTTGGAAATGTTCAATACGCTTAGAAATCAAAATAAATTGATGATTACTGTTACGGCCACCATGAACATAACGCATTAAAAGGAGGACGCGAGACTCAAACTTGAGGGTTCAATATTCAATTTATAAAAATAAAATAAAACAGCTTCCTGTGGGGGGGGGGGGGGGGGGGGGACGAGGAACCCCAAATTCCCGCGTCCACCAAAAAGACACAAAAACCCAAAGTAACAACTTAATGGAGGACCTGGTGAGCCGGTCAAACAGAACAAAAAGGTATCACAGCGGGGCATCTCTATACAGGGCCGTCCAAGCAACTGGGTACCAGACTAAAAACTACAACAACAAAAAACCTATAGTAAAGAAAAAACAGAACAACTGGTCCCACCAGGCCAAAAGTACTACAAAAAGCAACAACATACAAACAAGTTACCCAAAAAAATACCTTTGGCTGAGGCTGCAGGCCACTACTACAAGATCAGGACAAAAAAAATAAAGGCCCCAGAAAACCCAGGGCATCCAAAAAAAAAAAAAGTCCAAACAAGGAGGCCCAAATAGAGAGCGGCTGAGAGGTCCAAAAATGTGGGACTATGAGAGGTTCAAAAAACAGGGAACCTGGAGGGCAAGCTCCCTGAAACCAGTCTATTTATGGGCGGGTGGAAAAGGCCACAGCTCAAAACAATCAAAGGGTGATTAGCCAACCCAAAACCTGTCCAAAGGGACAAAATAATAAGGCCAATGTGCCACAGGCACATAAAAATTACATTGTACTAACCAGTGTACTTTGGTTTATTATACCCACTATAAAAATGTAGACTACACCACTGGTTTTATCCACTTTAAATGTGGTAAACATCCTTCCATCAAAAATGCTTTTTTTGTCCCCCATCATGGAGTGAAGAGGGAATTGGAAATCCCCTCCTCCCATTCGTCCTTGAATGCACCAGCAAGAAGATGCTGGGTGAGACCACGGCTAGAGGCCGACGTTCAGACATGAACATCGGCTCATGGAAGAACTGGACCTAGAAGGTGCTGCAGCAACGTAGTGTGGGGAAAACCAAACGAGAAGTTGGGTTATGACACAAACCTGATCACGGCACGCGTTAATTTTCAAACCCTTCAACACATATACTCAACCAGAAGGTATCGGGAGCGTACATCGTTTGTGCGCCACTAGACTCAACAGTAATTTCTTCACGTTTTGACCCACTCTAAAAGAATTTCAGTCAAATAGAAAATGGAGTGGCAGCAGCATCAGTTCTCCAACACAGATGGAACGTGGGATCAAAATGCCAACGGGACAAACATTAATGTCGGGGGTTGTGTAGAAAAACGAGCCACAAGGGGCAAACATGAACATTTTAATTGGTCATTAAACACAGTTTTCTGCAGGACGTGTGATCTTGCTAAAAACAAAGTTGCCTGTTTAAACAGCTGATCTGTTTTTGTGTGTTCAGCCTGTTTCTGCCTTTGAAGTGGCCCAAAAATACCAAATGCAGAGTAAAACTGCACCTCTTACCAATTATCCTGGCTCGAGGGCTTTAAGCATGACTCCACGGCTCTAGTTACATAAAGCAGTTTTCAAGAAGCCTTTTTTCCTTCTTCTTTCATCTGCTCCTTTCTTCAGGGGTCTCCACAGCGAACTAAGTCACATGAAGACTTGGCAATTATTTTTATTCCAGATGCCCTTGACACAACCACAGACCACTGAGCTACCACAGCCCTCTGTGTGGAGCAGAGAGCTGCCATCTAGGGTGCCCAGGGGAGCAGATGGTGGGGGTTCAGGGCCTTGCTCAAGGGCCCAGAGTAGGACAAATGAGAGTCGAGGCAGGTGTGGGTGCTTCACCTATCCCACCTACATTTTGACGTTGTCGGCACCGGGAGATGAACCAACGATCTTCCGATCACTACCTTCTCTAACCTCTGCACCACCACTCCCTGTTTTCAATATTTCAGTTTTAAAGAAGCCTCCAAAAAAGCAAAAACACCACTGAACTTGAACCGCTTTACAAGAATACATCGCAGCATGTTGCTACGTCTTTAAACCAGCAGGATGTGATAAAACCTGCAGGAGACCAGTGGAACCATACTGGAGATATTATATCTGCAATGTCTCCGTTCCTTCAACGTTGCACTAAAAAAGCAGGGAGGCAACATGATAGCTGCGTCGTTAACGAACGAATGAACACAATTAGTGAAACTCCTCTAAAATAAAATTGTTCTGTTTTTAGGTGATAAATCCAAAGAAGAAAGGAAAGAAGAAAAACTACCTAAACTCTGGGACGGTAAGGCAGAAAACGTGTTGGATGTGCGGTCGTTTTGATCCAGTTTAAAGTAAATTACATGATTTTTACCAATCAGCACTGATCAGATTGTTGCCTGTTTGCTCGCAGGTGACGCTGCTGTCGTTCCTCGTGGACGTTGAAGTCACCTTTCTGGACTACATCAAAGGAGGGTGAGTCGGTTAGCCGTGCAGACGGCGACTCCTGTCACTGGCTTGGTGCACATTTGCATGTGAGAGGGCGGCAGTATATGACGGGGCGGACGGTTAGAAACTGACAGATGGGCTGACCTGAAGTCACATCCAGAGCTCTGATGCTGAAGTCTGTCTCCGTCCTGGTGTGTAATCATTTATTGTGCCAAGCCCCCGTGTGCCTTCGTGTACTCGTGCAGGAGGGTTGACCGTGTGCAGCCAGGCGTGGCGTGAACGCTCGCCTACACACTGCCTTCATAAGAGTCACAGAGGGAGGAGGCTGTCAAGGGAGAATGCGTGCATGTGGCTGCAACTTGAAAAAACAACAACAAAAAAACAGGATCCCGGTATTTTTGTGTCTGAGCTGCACTTGTGATTGTTTTTGTTGTTTTTTTTAATTCGGGTGGTGTGGAAAATTCACTTGCCATTTGCGAGAAATGTTTCATGTTTTTGCCACAAACTCATAAATGAAAACATGTTGCTTTTTTATTTTTTTATGTTTATTTTCTCACTTGAGAGGATTGTATATCAATAATGATAGCACTGGCATCAGAAGCATTTATAAAGTGTGGAGGACACACTGGTGGAGGGATCTGGGGTCCTGCCACAGGAAGATTTTGAAAAAAGTAGTCATTTCCTGCATTCTGCTCTATTTTAACAGGTTGCTAAACGTCTACATTTACCTATACAAGTAAACACTTGATTCAGTAACTATTTTAGAGAGCAACGAGAAGTAGTCTGACCAACATCTCTCCTTGTGTGAATAGAGCACACTCTGCTTCTCTCACATGTCCTACCCCCTTGGTCGACAATTGCTGGCACTAACGTAGTGCTAACAAAGTTCATAAGCTAGCGGCGCTCAATACAGATGCGTTAGCTAAGATGCTACATACGTAGCGCTCCGCTTCTCTCACGCATCCTAACCCTCTATCCAGGTCAACAACTGGCGGCACTAACGTAGTGCTAAGCTATCGTGCAACACAGAGGTGTCTCACCCTCCTCTCCCCACCCCGTTGACAAAAAAACCCCTCAGAGATGAGCACCCTGTAATGCCAAGTGACGTCAGAGAAACACTTCATGCTGTGTGGTGAGTTGTTGTAGGTAACCTGGAAAACCCGGAGTGAACTTTTAGTGGTTTGAGTATTCTCCTATTAATCAAGTGGAATGGATTCATTCACAAAGAAATAGAAACAGCGCTGGATGAACTAATATTTCATGGTAAATGTGTGTGGTGGTGGTGTCCAAATGAAGATTTTTTTAAATGTGAGAGGGGCACGTCCCCTTCACATATAGTTGATGCGATGCCGATAAATGATAGAGATACTGAGAGGACTTGGCACAAGGCAACACAACAATCTGCCATCATGTGGGATATTTTTTATGCCAAGCCCTTCTAGTTTGACTGAATATCCTCACATACGTTTACTGTCGCTGTCTACAAACGAAGAAATCCCTTCATCAAACACATTCCCAGCTACAAACTGGTTTCACTTTAAATTGCTGTTGCAGAGACTCGTGTTTAGTTTTTCGTCTCCTTTTTTTTTGTGGCTGATTGTCAGCTGGATGCTCTTGCGTACTTCTGTGGGGTAAATTAAACGCCAAATGCCGTTTCACTGTCTGAAACCTAAATGGACTGTTATGGTTCTGTCGCAGTCGCTTCAATTGCATGATTGGCCAGACGGTGCATTTGTGGACAGTCACCAATATGTACACTCGCACATAAAAACCAAAACACCCCTATTCCCAAAAGCACACAAACATCTTTGAAGTCTTTTGTGCCTCTTGATCTGATGTCCTCTCAGGTATTTTTCCTCTCATCTGCTTCTAACCCGTCAGGTTTATCTCTCCTCTCCACCATGTTTTTTTGTCTCCTGATTGACAGCTCTCTTTTGCAGTTTCAAACCAATCAGCTAATTGCTCATTTGGACCTAATTAGGAGCATGTTCTGCTTGTAGGATTAGCATAAATGACTGATTCAAGACAGCTCCATGTCAATCCAGATCTGTGCGGCTCCCCTTCTTTTCTTCTCTCTTGAATAAAGCATTAGCACTACCCATGAATCTGGACAAAGGGAGCCTCATTTTGTGGGGAATGGCGATAAAATTATGAATTGTTGCGGATATCTTTCATTTTGAGCGGTGTCTTTGAAGGCAGCCCTGTCACTCGGATTGACAGATATTGTTCGCCTCTCTTTGGTTTGTGAATTTAGTATTGAAACCAGAATAGAGGCAGGAGGGAACACTGCTGGTACCATCGTCATTCTGAGAGGCTATCATTAGTTAAAAGAGCAGACACTGAAAGTCAAGACGAAGATTGGGAGGAAAATACAATGCTTTGAAAGGAACCAAGCCGTTTGACTTTGTGGGATCTGCTTTACAGCTCAACGGGAAACAATAAATCTGCCAGTTTTAGAGTTTAGGCTAATTAGACATGATACAGGTGTAGATGCTTCTTCTACTTTCTGAGCGTGTAGAGCTGCTGAGTGGGTTTTGGACAGAAAAGAGTTTGTAAATGGCTGATGCCAATCTTTAGAAATTATGGTAGCTAATGGCTGAGCTATAAAGCCAAAAGTGCTTTTGGCTCATAATTATATTGCTCAGTATTCATACACATTACTACCACTAGATAATTGGGGGGGGGGGGGGTGTTTGACAGTGATCGCATAGGATTTAGTGATTAAGTTCATTTTTAACCACGGCTACAGTTGCAATGTAACTCTATCCCTGTTTAACTGTCTAAAAGTTACATTTCCCATGTATTTGGGTAATAATGTAAGACTTTTGATGATATAAATTAAAGACTTATCGTCACTTGTGAATATGATCTTCAATAAGTTAGCATAATATTCAGGTCAGCTTCCTATAGGGGTTGCTGATACAGTAGTCCCTCTCTTATTGCGGGGGTTATGTTCCAGACACCCCCGTTATAGGCGAAAATCCGTGAAGTATGGACATTATATTTATTTGGGGTGGCTGTGGCTGAGTGGTTAGAGTAGTTGTCTGCCAGTACGAGAGTTGGGGGTTCAATTCCACCAGTAGTCACATGCTGAGGTGTCCCTGGGCAAGACACTGAACGCCTCATTGCCTCCGATGTGTGTCCCATTAGGGTATGAATGTGATAAAGCTCTGATTATTCTTTGTATAGATCTATTAGAGTGCTGTATGAATGGGTAAATGAGGGCACAGATTGTAGTGTAAAGCTCTTTGAGTATCTTGATAAGATAGAAAGGTGCTTTATAAGTACAGTCCATTTACCATTTATTTTAGTATTTATATATATATAGTAAGGCTTTATAAACCCTTCACACACTCTTGCAATGTTCTTAACAATGTTCTAAACTCTCTAAACACCCTAAAAGAGCACAGTGAAAGATAGCAGACAGACTGATGCTACGGTTACTGAGCCAATCTCCAGTGCGGACTGGCCATCAGGAGCACCGTGACACCGGGACAGCCCCATCGAGAGGGGTTGGACCAAAGGCTCGGTTTGATTATTTTAAATAAACAATCCATTCTGCTCACTCAGGTCCACCTCAGTGAAGTTCCCTGAGCAGTAGCAATGGGAAAAGACAGACCCCACCCTCGCCCCCTCCTTTCTTTTACTGAGGCTATCACAGCGGAGCAGTGACACACAACAAGTTGCGCACCCACCTGTCTCTGCTCTGCTGTGACTCTGCTCTGCTGTGACAGACAGCCTCAAAAAGCGAAAGCAGGGGACCCCTCGGCGATTACTGAGCGGGCCAGGCCACCGGGAAATGTCCCGGTGCTCGTGATGGCCAGTCCGCCCCTCAGCAAAACACTCTGGTTGGATGCCTTCCATCAATCAGCCAATTGTGTGTCATGTACAATCTTGCGTTGAAAACCCACGAAAGAATGAGTCCACGAAAGCACCCCTCTTAAGGAAAGTACATTGTAGTTTTAAGCGCAAAAATGTCAAATAATCATCCTAATTGACGTATCAGTTTTGTTTTTGTTTTTTTCTTTACCTCTACACAGTTTCTTCATACAAAGATAAGAATTGTGAGATCCATTAAAATGGTTGTCTAAATTGTAATACTGTGGTGTGTTTCATGGTTCAACACCCCTATCATTTAAAAGTAGGGTTTAGGTTGTGGCTGACCACTGGTGCACTGTGAAGCTGTTTCTCCTATCTATCAGCTAATACACTGATGTTGACGCCTTTTGTATAACTAATACAGTTGTTTTGGTTCACAAGTCATTTGGGAAAAAGCTTGGATTAGGTGTTTGAGTTTGATACAAACAACTGAAATGAGCTTCCTCCATTGGCTAAAGGAACTCCGTCTTACAGGAGGAGCTTGACGAAGAGCCGCTGCTCTTCACATTAAAGTCAGCTGACGTGTTTCAAGCAGGTCTGCTATCTTTCTGGTAAAAGACTTGAGAAAGATCCAGATCCCAGGACTTTGTGAAGGCATAGTTTATACGACTTTTGTTTAAAGTAGGGATGCACAATATTGGATTTTTGGCCGATATCCGATACCAGTACCGATTTTTTAATTTTCCTAGACCTTCTTACAGAGACTACATAAATACTACAGATGCCAAAAAGGGGGCTGAAAATGATGCAACACTTCAACGTGGATTGTGTTTAATGTCTAATTTATTCATGACATTTACTCTCTAACACAATGACAACACTCGAACAGTGCTAATTTGTAAATTTTCACACAAATCTAAACTCAACGGTGCACGTGATGTCATAACGTACTGGCGCTGCAGGCATTCTTGTCACTGGGTTGTCATACCAAATCAACGTATATATACAGTGTATGTATATATAAACAGCGCCTTTTATATCACTTGAGTTATTTAGATGGAATAGCCGATTTCCGATATTTAACTTTATCGCTAATATCAGCTGATACCAATACCAGCCGATAATATTGTGCATCGCTAGTTTAAAGAAAGCCTTTAAAAAAATTCAGTTTGAAGAGTTAGCTCAACCTCTTCAGCCATCACTTGATA